CTTCAGGTCCTCCTCAGTTTCAGCAAGCAGGGTTGTGTCATCTGCATAACACAGATTGTTGATAGATCTTCCACCAATCCTGATGCCACATTTCTCCTCATAGAGTCCAGCCTCCCGGATGATCTGTTCTGCATATAGGTTGAAAAGGTATGGAGACAGAACACATCCCTGGCGTACACCCTTCCCAATTTTGAACCATGCAGCGTTTCTTTGCTCTGTTCTGACAACTGCTTCTTGGTTCAAGTGTAAGTTTCTCATTAGCATGATCAAGTGTTCTGGGATTCCCATTCTTCTCAGAGTCAGTCACAGTTTGTTATGGTCCACACAGTCAAACGCATTTGCATAATCAATGAACCTTTCCTTAGCTTTTCATAATAATGATCTTATATTTTTCTTTCTGTGACTGACTTTCTTCAATTAGAATAATGTCCTCTAGATGCTCTACATTGTACATATATGAATTTTTATTGTTTTGTAGTGTTGCATAATATGTATATTGGATAAATGTACTACAGTTTATCCATTCTTCTGCTGATCAACACTTGAATTGTTACCATCTCTTTTTAATGCTGCAATGAACACATGTGTTCAACTGTGCAAATTAATACTTCTCCATTTATTAAACTTGACAAAATAGTGAAATTACAATACATCTAATATCAACTAGCCTATACATTATTATGTTTGAATTAAACTATGATTCTTCAACATTAAAAACAATAAAAATATTTTCTCCCATCACTATGCTGTTGTGGTTAGGGGCTATGGAGCTGTTTTCAGCCAATGGATACTTTCTGTACAACAAAATTAAACACTGCCTGGACTGGTACCATTCTCTCAATTTTTGCTGTTTCTGAGTCCATGGTTATAGTTATAATCACTGGGTCATTGTTTAAGAGATTTTATATTTTTCATTAACTCTATATTTTACCAAGCATAATGCCCTTCTCCAGGGCCAAGTCTCCCCTAATAACATGCCCAGCGTCCATGACATGGAATTCACCGTCCTCATTCCTAAGGAACATTCTAGGTGTACTTTTTCTAAGATAGATTTATTCTTTTTCTGACAGTATGTTGTGTATTAAATATTCTTAAGACTTAGTTTCAGTTATTTTGCAAATATATTAAAAATGTTTTAAAGGAGATATGTTGAATATTAAATGAAAATGAAGTAATGGAATTTCATTAAGGGAAGGCAGTGTGGACAAAGAGTGCTTAAAGGCTCTTTAAACAAGTGGAATGAGTCTAATTACCACGTGAGAATCCACAAAAGTAGAAGAAGAATTTTAAGTGTGGTTTGGAATATGATAGCATGAGAGGATTTTATTCTTTGTCATTCTGAGATGTGATGGGCACATTGTGGAAATATCTCAGTTCCCACTGACAGAAGTGAAACTAGAGCTCAATCCTGCAATGATAGGGACCTGAGCTCTGCAATCGCAAAAATAAATGAGGAAATGAGTTGGTTTTTTAGAGTCTCTAGAGAGGACTCCAACACTGCTGGTTCCTAGGCAGTTTAAGTCCACCAGCTGTTTTGTGGGAGAAAGAGGGGCAAGGAGAAGGGCGGACAGTCTCCTCCTGTACAATTTACTGCCTCCGAAAACCTGCTCAAGGGTCAGCTATGAGCCACTTCTGACTCAACAGCTCACAACAACGGCAGTAGATCTGGTTTTCAAACTTTAGGATTGTTGGAGTGGTTTTGTAGTATAGACACTAACTTCTGCAAACAGTCAATACATTTGAAATTACTTTATAAAGTAAAATTGAGATGCATTCTACTTACTTTTTTTAAATATAGGTTTATTGTCATTAATATCAGAAAGTGTAATTAATACACTTGTTGTGCCAGTAAGTCCTCCAGGCTGGCCAATCATGTCTTTGGCTTGAATGATCACCCAGTGTTCCTCTTGCAGTTCTCTATCCACTTCAGTAAATATCCTTACGACTCCTATAGAAAGGGCAGATAGTGACTTATTATTCTACTTTTCCCACAACACCTTCCTAGTTATTCCCTTAGCCATCCTACTATGCAGCTTGACACAGACTGAGATACTGAAATATTCCAGACACCACTCAGGAGAGGGGCAAAAAGCAAAATGATTTATTTATGGAAGTACAAGACTTTCCATAAGATTCCACATGTAAGATACTTGACATTGTATGCAATGAATATATTGTAATGGTGATCTGGTTTCTAACTTCTTTTTCTATGATTAATAAACTACTTGTTTGCTCATCTAAGAAAAATCATATGGTGCTTCTAATACAATAAAATTTTCTATCTTCATGTTTATAAGTAACTACTCTTAATCAGCTTTGTGTTGTCTACTGAGTTACACTTTGCTTTTATTTAAAATTGCAGTTCTGGTGACCTCGTCTGTAGGCCTTTATGGTGCCCACCCGAAGGACTGTTCAGGGCTCAGACCCACTGTGGTTTTGAGGGACAAAGAAAGGCCATCAGCTCTTGTGCAATTTGCAGCCCTGGAAACCGGCTACAGAGTCAAGGCTAAGTTAGTTCACGGTCAACAGCAGTGGAATAAAACGTAAAAAAAAATAAATAACATTGATAAAACCTGTTGTTGGTTCAATGGAGAAGTACGGCTGTCCGAGGAGGAGGCTGTAGAGGAGACGAGCGTTATTGCCACTGAAAGGATCGTCGGCATCCGTAGCTGTCACCTGGATGACGAACGTCCCTGAGAAGAAAAGAGACAGTAATATTACTGACACTGGGACTTGTCATATTCAAGAATGAGCTCAATTCCATAAAGCCCTCTTTCTTTTACAAAGAAAGGGACAACATTAAGTGAAAGACTGGCCTATTCTTTTCCTGTAAATTAAAGAACTAATCTCATTCTCCATAGAAGAAAAGAGTATAATCTTATATTCTTATACCTGTATAGCTTCAACTTCCACTTACAATGTAGAATTTTAAACTTGAAGTTGTAGATCATTATGAAATGTATTTATTCAATAATCTATTGTGATGTGTAATTTGAAATGTCCACAAGGTATGTTAGTAGTGATTGTTGTTGCTTTGTGTCCCATCAAGTCAGCTGACACTCCAGGGGATTTTCAGAGGCAGCAAATCGCAGAAGGAGACTGCCCATTCTTCTCCTTTGGAGTAGTTGGATTTGAAACAAATGTCTTTGGCATTGTAGCACAGCTTCTTTCCACTAGACCACCAGAGCTCCCTGTGAGTAGATATGATGGGGAAACTTAAAAAATGCTGACACACAATTTATAAGGGTAATTGAAATGAACGTGAAAGTGTGTCAAAGTGAGAATGGGCATAACTATTATGGCTGCTAAATGTCTTTCTACAAATACACACTTGAGTAGAGGACTCAAAGAAAGCAAAACAAATTGTAATAAAAAGTGATAGCCTGACAATTATTTTCATTAAGATTTAGTGTTAATCATTAAAATACTAGAAAATAATTGCTTGTACATTTAAAAACAAGTCTGGTACTAGAAATCTTAGTGAAATCAGCATTTGTGGAAATACCATGTTCTAAGTCATTACATTCTGGCTTCTACATTTCTTGGCACAGCCTAGAAAGCATGCTCAGGGCTCCATCTATTTCTTGGAATATGTCAATTGATATTCCATCAAATCTTGGATCCGCTTTTTTTTTTCTTTTATTTCAATACTTTCAGTGCAGCTTTAATTTCTTCCTTTAATACCAAAGGTTTTTGATCATGTGCTATTTCCTGAAATGTTTTTGTGTCAGCCAATTATTTTTGGTACAGGGACTGTGTGTATTCCTTCTATCTTATTTTGATGGGTCCTGGATCATTCAAGGTTTTGCCCATTGCATCCTTCAGAATTGCAATTCAAGGCTTACATTCTGTTCTTCGGTTCTCTCAGTTTGAGAATTAGTGAGTGACTTCTTTCCTTCTGGTTTTCTGACTCTAGCACTTTGCATATTTATATTATAATAGTTTGCTTTGTTTTCTTGAGATGCCCTTTGGGATATTCTGTTCAACTCTTGTACTTCTTCATTTATTCACATTATTTCATCATCTCAATGTTCTAGTGCAGTTTACGTGGTTTCTTCTGGCATCAGTGTTGGTCTTTTCTTCTCTGTCTTTGTAATGACTTTTACTCTGTACATGGATCCACTAGCTTACTGTATCTCCAGAGTTCATCTGGTCTTCACTTATTACTGTTCAGTGCCTCAATTACATTTTTGAGATTATTTTTAAATTTAGGTAGGACAGACTCAGGTCATATTTTAGTTCTCGTGGATTTATTTTCATTTTCTTCAGTCTCAATTTGAATTTTCAGGTTGAGTGGTTGATGGTCTGAAAGTTAGGCAATGACTAACAACGACAGAAGAAGAGTTTGAGTTGTGTTGCAGAAAAGAAATGAATATCCCATAGACTTCCAAAAGAACAAAAGATTCTGTCTTGGAGAAAGTGAAATCATGGTACTTCTTGGAGGCAAAGACAATGACATTTCATCTCACATACTTTGACCATGTTGTCAAGAGGGGCAAGTCCTTAATGAAGTATATCATTCTTGGAAAGGTGGAGGGTCAATGTAAGAGTCGAAGACTCTTGAAAAGATGAATTGGCACAGTAATTGTAATAAATCCACATGTACCAGAGATGATGGGAATGTCACAGGGTAGAATATGTTGCAGATTAATTGTATATTGGTTTGCTATGAGTCACAGTTGACTCTACAGCATATAACTATCAACCTTTTAGTTAGCAGCTGAGGCTTTAATTATTATGCCACCTGGACCACACCACGTTGAAGAGCCTTCCATGATGATTTCTCCTACAGCGCTGCTGATGTTCTAAAGTTCTAATCTTCCAAGTAGTAGAGCAGCACTTAGCAATTGTGCCATATGTATTTCTAATGTATCTCTCTGAAAATAATTAAAAAAAAATATTGTCATCAAGTTGATTTCAACTTGTGACCACATTAGACAGAGGAGAACTAACGAGAAAGGTTTGCTCGCTATATCATTTACAGAAGCTGATGGCCAAGTCTTTTCCTTTGAAGAGACTGATTGTTTAAAACTGACAAATGTTAGGTTAGCAGCAGAATTCTTGAGCGCTGTACCACTAGAGCTAATTGCTTTATGTGTCTTTTATCTGTTAGCATTAAGTCAACTCCAACTCATAGGACAAGTAGAAGTACTTCTTAGGTTACACATTTATGGATGGAGACTACTATACTTTTCTCTTGCAAAGATGTTAGTGGGTTTGAACTGTCATCTTTTTGTTTAGCAGAAGAGCACTTAAACCACCACAACTTAAAAACCAGGGCTTCTTAAAACAAATTTTTTTAAAAAATCCAACAAAATAAACAAACCCTTTTGCCACCGTGATTTGCAGTGACAAAGTAGAGTTGTCTACAAGGTTTTCAAAGTTGTAATCATTACCAAAGGTAGACTCCACTGTGTTTTTCCCATGGAGTAGTGATTGACATTGAACCAATGACCTTTTGGTCAGCAACCCATTTCACCCCTGCACTGTCAGGACTCTTTCAAACCAAGTTCACTGTCATCTAGTCAATTCTGACCAATATTAAACCTCTATTGAACTTGAACTAGAAATCTTAACAAGAGTAGATTGTTTATCTTTCCCAACAGAGCTGCTGGTAGATTTGAACTGCTGGAAACATTAAACAGTCTAATAATCATTACTGTACTGTACTATACTATACTATACGATACTATAGTATGTTCTCAGAGCTTCTTATCAGCTTTGAAGGAGATATTGAATCCGAAATACCAAGAAATCCAGAAAACAGGGCTGGACATGACAGCCTTCTGGAATACCTTTCACAATGCAAATAGATCCCCAGGATTATGTGTAAATAAAAATAAAAATAATTCATAAAGAATTTGGATGTATTGAGCTAAGCTGCTCTATCCTTAACTCCTATTATTCCACTTGTAATTAAAACTGAGTACTGAAGACAACACATTTTTAAATGAGTTACACACACACACACACACACACACACACAAATTTTTTTTAAAAACTGGCTAACATTTTGAAATAAAAATTGTGAAGAAATATAAACAAAAGATTGAAAGAATCCTTCTCTTGGTGATAAAGGTTTCAAAGTTCAGCATGTGCATCTGAATTACTATGACATGAACATAAATGGACTTGTTACTTAAAAACGCAAGCGTTAAATCATTAGGCTTTTATCTCTTGAAATATTTTCTTGAATAAATTGTTTCTGACCTGTTAATTAAACAAAAGTGCAATTAAAGAAATTATTCTTCCAGAATCATATTTTATAAGACTAATTTATGAGTTTTGTGTTGGTGAAGAATATTAAATATACCGCGGACTTGCTGAAGAACAAACCAATTTGTCTTAGAAGAAGTAGAGCCAAATGCTTCCTAGGAGCCAGGATAATGAGACTTCCCACAAACTTCGGGCTTGTTATCATGAGAGAAACAGCCCCGGGAAAAGGACTTTATAGTTGGCAAGTAGAATCAATGAAAAAAAAAAAAAAGGAAGACCCTTAACACATTGGGTTGACAAATAGAAAGAGTTGTGATTAGGGCAAAATTTTAGTGAAATGAGGCAAAATATGAAGGAAAGAATGTTAGGGAGGATACCAATGAGATAAGGCAAAAACACATGTTTAAAGGCAAAGGTCACACCAAGTAGCTAGAACTAGGTTGTTCCCAAACAACATCACACAACCAGCAATTTCGGGGATACTGGAGTGGGAACTCCCCACAAAATTTTGAACTTCAAGGACACATCATCCTGTTAACTCAGACTCAAGCCCTAAGGAACACCCAAAAGAGAAAGTGAGTCAGCTGTGTTAACCCATAACCCCCGTGGCCCAGCATCCTCTGTTTTCTTCAGAGAATAACCCCTTCCTCTCTCAGGGGCATAACTATCATTAAATCCTCTCCATGACTTTTCTTCATCAGAAGTTGACCCTTAAAGACCCATTTTCTGTACTATTTCTTTGCTAAAAACCTACCTTTATTTTCACATCTTCTTGTCTTAGTTCACATCTCATTGAGTTCCTGTGCTATAACAATGGCTTGGCTCATGTGGGGACTATTTAAAACAAGACAAACACTGTCTCTTTTAATGGTCTCAACACTGGGTGTATGCTAAAAATGTCTATCTTAAGGTCCATTAAAATTGCTGAACACCGTGCTACTGCAGTAGACCAGATATTGCCTCCTCTAGTCTCTCCCACCAATCTCCTTGGCCTAGTGACCATACTATTCAGGGACACCTAGGGCAATTGGCACAACAAAGAATGTAAACACAACACTGCACATCCTACATCAGGGAGGAGCACTTGAGGTTTTAAATGCTTTCAGCAGCCTGCTAAACCATATTTTGCTTTAGAGTGAAAACATTGATAGCTTAGACTCCAAAGTTCAGATTGCATTTCAGAAAGTCAGTTTTCAGACTTTGGGAAAAAACCCCTCTGTTCTAGTTTCCTTTGTCTTATCTACCCATCCCCCAAGGCACGTTCCTTTATTATTCACATATAGTTTTAGCATCTGAAAGAGAAGCAGCTTCAGTGTCAAAAGGACACTTCCAAGAGGGCCTGTTTCATTTACATCATTACTTCACACCTACCTGGACTGAGGTAAAAGCAGTTCTCTTCTCTCTCTTTCCCTCTCTCACTCACCTGCTGACTTAACAGAAGAATACCTCCTCAAGGGCTGTCTTTTCTCTTGCCTCT